TCTTTGGTCATGGGGCAAAAACATTTGTCCTGAGTTCAGAATAAGAGATCAGAAAATACCACATAGCTTTCCCCCAAACTCATACTTCTTTTTTTTTAATTTGAAAATATATCTTTGACTCCTATAGCATATGTTCTTGCATGTGCTTCTTGGCACTCCTGAAGGGTATATCTATTTCTTAAAAGCTTGCTGCCATAATTTTTCTGGGGAGTGAATTTTGTCCTGGGTATGCGTGCAGAATTTCTGTGACAGCCATAAATTTTCTTTAATGTCTTTGTATCCACAGAACTCCTATATCAATACTAAGTTTGCTACCTGCCCACCAGAAAAGCCATATGCTAGCATCAAATGTTAATTGGCTATCAGTTGGGTATTTAGCCCTACTCATCTGCTAAGTGGATAGTGTGAGAAACTAATATGGAAGTTAATGGTACATACTCTCTAGTCCTGTTAAATTGCTTATCTACTTTAGATTTTTCCATTACAATCACAACATGAAATGAGTATGTAATTTGTTTCAGTGTTGCAGGCTTTTTAAAAATCTTGTTTGTTTTCCAGTGTAGATGTAGACTCCTAGACTCATGCAGGATGAAAGGGACCTCCAGAGGTCATCTGGTCCAACCTCCTGCTCAAAGCAGGTCTAGTCAGAGCAGGCTGCTCAGGACCATGTCCAGTCGAGTTTTGAATATTTCCAAGGATGGAAGTAACAAGCTCTTTGGGCACCTATTCCACTGTTTGATCACCCTCATGGTAAAATTTCTTCCTCATACTGAGTTGCAATTTCTCATGTTCCAACTCGTGTCTGTTACCTCTTGTCCTTTTGCTGTGCACCTCCAAGAAGAGTCTGGCTCTGTCTTTGTATCCTGAGATCAGGTAGTTGCAGACAGCAATAAGGTCCCCTTGGCCTTCTCTTCTCCAGACTGAGCAGACCCAGCTCTCTCAGCCTCTCCTCATATGCTATGTGCTTCAGCCCCGACCAGCTTGGTGGCCCTCTGCTGGACTTGCTCCAGTTTGTCAATATTTTTCTTGTACTGAGGAACCCAGACTGGAGGCAGCACTCCAGATGTGGTCTCACAAGTGCCAAGTAGAGGGGAAGGATCACTTCCCTCAACCTGCTGGCTACACTCTTACTAATATAGGCCAGATGCAGTTGGCCTTCTTTGCCACAAGGACACACTGCTGACTCGTGTTCAACCTGTTGTTTACCAAGGACCCCAGGTCATTTTCTGCAAAGCTGCCTTGTAGCCAGTCAGTGCTCAGCATTTTCGAATGAAGTTATTCCATCCCAGTTGCAGGATTTTGCATTTGCTTTTGTGTGAGAGGTTCCTGTCAGCCCATTTTTTTGACCTATGGAGACACTTTTCTAGTGTCTTCAACACACACCAGAAATCTCCTGCATTGATTGTGCACTGCCCTCTTGCATTTTCAGTGTATATAAGGGTGGGTAAATTCCCCCGCGAGAACCATGGCCTGTGATCATGAGGCTTCTTCCAGCTGGCTAAAGAAGGCTTTGTCTCCCTCTTCTTGATCAGGCAGTCTGTAGCAGACAACTCCGCCAATGTCATCCATGTCGGTCTGTCTTCTGACCCCTAAACTCTTGATGGCTCGTCACCTGTTCCAAGGGAAGCTCCGTGCACTTCAGCCACCCCTTTGCATAGAGTGCAGCTCTCCTCCTCACCTTCCCAGCTTGTGCTTCCTGAAAAGCCTGTGTCCATCTATTGCAGCACTCAGTCATGTGAGTTATGCCACCATGTTTCTGTAATCTCAGGGATGTCACAGCTCTCCACTGTGCTTGGACTTCTCATTCCTCCTGGCTGCTCCCCATGTGCACGTGTCAGTACAGACGCCTGAGATGAGCCTCAGTCAAACTGCTTTCAGAAGAGAAATGCGAGAGCCTTTACTGTCCTGTTGTCCCCAGGTGATTCCTCACTGCCGCCATGTCTTCTCTTTGGAGTATGACAACCGTTCCCCAGCACACCTAGTTTAAAACCCTCCTCACTGTGTTAGTAGGCCTGTTGGCAAAGGCACTCTTGTCCCGATTTGTCAGGTGAATGCCATTCCTGC